ATGAGAATGGCATCATTTTGGAGAAGGGTAAGGTATATATATATATCACAGCAAATCATCTAAAGATTGAAGCGTCACAAATTCTGAACATGCAGGGCAAAAAACATCGTTTGGCAATTTGTTCAAACGACTTCGAATCGGACAATTATTTCTGTTTGTGTCAGGCTGACGATACCAAGCGAACACCATGAAGAGCACACAAAGCTGGATTCACAGATGTCCTGGTGCGGCCAGCTTCAACGGCGGAGCGCTACAATTGATGCAACAATCCAAATCCGTCTATAGTTGATAATTATTGTAGTGTGTATGTATATATATATATATCAGATATTTCTAGATGCTGTGTGTGTATATATATATAATATATTATAATATTATATAGTATGTATAGACGGCCACAGGTCCTTCTTGCTTCTGCTGTTTTATATTGTTTTATGATATCAGCCTTTCCTTCCTTGACTCCCCATGTCGGGTGACAGACGTTTCCCATGTCCTCACGTAGACGTGTGCAACCTAAGCAGAACTGATTCTGATGTGATGAGCGTTTGCATGAAGGCAAGAAAAAAAAGACAAGTTAAATCCCGCTAGAATAACGGTGAATTATTTTTCAATTTTTTGAGGTGTAAAACGCATGGAACATAGAGCACCACACTCGTTGCAAATAGACGCGTTCATGGAATTCAACAGCTCAGCTCTACTTGGGTAGTTCTCTATGTTCCTCCTTGTGCTTCTTGGTTTCTTAGGTCATACATGATCATATAGATCCCCACGGAGCCTTCCACTATACTCTGGTACAGTAGGTGGTTAAAATCCGTCCCTAAGTTATGGAACATGGCCATTATAGATGATTACCTATTAAAAACCGTATCAAACATGGCGATGTTCAATAGCTATGCTAAATTACTGGAGGGATCCCTGTGCTAAATGCTATGACCTAGGTGCCGGAAATCCAACCAAACCAGCCATCCCAAAATAGGTCCCAGGAGGCTTAATGCGCCGAAACTTACGATACTTATTGCCGAAAATGGGTTGTCTCAAAATGGCGGACCCCAAACCCCGAAATTTAGTGGCTACTCCCGTGAAAATATATGAAAATAGCAATATCTTGGGGGTTCAATCCCCCATTTTCAGACACACCCAACATCATATGAAGTTGGATGAAGTTGGTTAATTAATGTTAATTATAGTTAATTATATATCATTATATATCCCCATGGTTTCGTTTAAATTCTCACATTCATCCTCAATTTCTGGGTCCAGATCCATCTGCCACCAGGCGTCGGTGCGTTCCACCAAATCGGTCCCAAAGGCATCGGCCCAGGACACCACCAGAGGACACAGATACCACGCGCTCGAGCTCGATATGACAGGCATAGCACCGGGAGAAAGGCGGATGACCTGAAGGATTCTGTGGGAAACCTCTGTTTTTTCAAGGATTTTCCCACGAAAACCTCGATTTTTTGAGGGATTTTCCCATGGAAAACCTCGCCACGTTTGATTCCCGCAGGGTAACGGGGAAATTTTGGGCAGTTCCTGGGAATGGAAAATCAATCATTCCTAAGTCATTCCTTGACTGTGAGAATGTTTTTTTTCATCATAGTGGAAATGATGGGAGTATCTTAAGAATAATAACAATATGATGATATTATACTGTAATATACTGGGATTTCATGGTCGGGAAACCAATTTCTAAGGCTGAATTTGATGATGGTTGGCTGCTGAAGCTTGGGAAATTGCTTGGACAATTCAGCAACATGTCGATGAATTTTCCAAATGATGTGTGTAAATCAGCATTGCATTGAATATGTTGAGATACTGTTGGCAAGAATAGCCATGAAATGAATAATTTAAGACATCTTAAGACCTGGGGATCTTGGATGGTCATAGGGGTCTTATCTTTTCTTGCATCCACTGATCATCCTTAGCTCGCTGGGCTGACCCACGGCCGGTGGCACTTCGCATTCCTCAGCTGCTAGAGATGATCAGTGCATTCCTTGCACCGCTTGGGCAATCGTTTTGTGTGAAGCATACATGCCGACAGCCTAAACGGATAGACATGTGAAAAATAGTGTTCATGATATGGGACAATTCGGGTACTTTTTATCATGCTGTGAATGATAATAGTAGTACATACAGTAGCAAATAATGATTAACACACATGACTTGACATACCATCTTACACCCAGATTTCATTTCCCCATTTGGCCATGGTGATTTTTTTCGTCCACATGGGCTGAGGATGAGCCATGGCCACCAAGCTTCGAATTCTCGACCTTTTGAGATGCCACCGGCCCAGCGAGCACCAACCAATCGTAGCCCCTCCTGAGACATTGGCTCTGGTTGCCTCATGCAACCTGCAAGGACGATATTAAAAAATGGTCAAAGCCATGCTGTTTCTCATCTTCCAGACATACAGTACTCTTTGTCTTCTGGGTATTGTCAATCTTTCGAAATGTGATTGATGAGTCCCCTATTAAACGAAGTACTATGCCCACTTTGACACAACCATATTTTTTGTTGGATGCTAGGGAAGAAAAATCTACCAGCCACAACCTTTCCTTCACTTCATTATGGGGACACAACCGCTACTCGACTTCCTTCACTTCCTTCGACTTACCGTCACACTTCAACTTTCAGGAGGGGAGCAGAAATCTACGGTCTATATAATTATCACATTCCATGCTACTGGCTGCCTATCAATCTTCTTTGTCATTCCGATGAATGTACCACCCACTCTTGGCACTGCAAAGCAATCTGCCGCAAACGTCGGCCTCGTTCTTCTCCTCATCATCATCAGCATCATCATCATCATCATCATCATCACCATCATCATCTTCATCATCATCATCATCATCACCATCATCCGCGTGCACAACTGAGTTGTTTTTCGCGTGCACGACCGAGTCGGTTTTTTCGCGTGCACAGACGAAGCACCTTCCTGCATTTCATCATATTTCATGGTGAAGTCGTCAAATTATGGCTAGGTTCCTATTCCAAATATGCATCTCCCACTGCCGCAGGGCCAAGTCACCACTAGAAGCTGTGGGAGTCGCGGTTTTTCGGAGCCTGGATCACCTGCGTCGCCTGGGTCACCTGGGAATGGCAAGCAGCTTCTCATCGTGGGTTGATCAACCATTACTACCATCGATCCTTTTTGAATATATATTTATACAGTATTTATACATATTGTGGAAAGTGATTATAGACATAGTGTGTACATATTAATATAATGGTATGCTCAATGTCAAGCATGGATTCCAATATATTCCAATCAACCATTATCCATCAAAATCGACCATTGTCTATCACAATCAACCATTGCTTCAATCAGAATGAACCGGTTTTTACAGTAAGCAAACATGGATAATGATCAACCATAATGATACGAGTACCATCGATAACAAGAACAATCCATCAAACATGGGCTAAGACGTCCACTTCTGAGACGACCAACCTCTCCACCATTCACCGACCATTCACCAACCATTCACCCACCATTCACCGACCATTCACCAACCATTCACCAAAGTTGCCAAGTTGCCTTCAGATGCCTCAGAGACATGCTTTTCCGCCTCAGAGAACTCGAGAACAGCTGCAGGATTTCGTTAATTTCCCGGCTGCTTGCTGTTTAGTCAATCCAGGAGCTAATGTGAGCCATTAGATATCTGTTGATCTGTTGGTCCAAAGTCCAAAGCGCGGACATCCTTGGGAACTGTTGGACATTTTTGGGAAACCATTCACATCAGAGACTTCAACAATCGAGATACTGCCGTGAACCCATCGCATTCAATCCTTATTTCACACAACATCACCAAAAGGTCAAACCTTTCATACCTGTGAGATCCTGTGAGGTACCTGTGAGTTTTGTGATGTCAAACAAACTCAACAGAAGGGAATGATACGGTATACATGACATACATGTTGTGTACGTATATTGTTCTTCTCACTTTTCTCACTTGGACGCCCATTCCATCTTTTAACATCACTCGACGAAATATTTGTCATTTTAGGGTACCAAACCTGTGTTCAAACAAACAAATGCGCGCGCACACACACACAATATGTCTTCGAACAAACCTACACACACATTGTATTATATAGTTGTAGTATGCATGATTATGCTGTATTGATAATTCATATAACATATAGTACGAGTATGTATACAAACAATTTTGGTATGATATTGATAAATTGGAACTTTCTAACTGAACCTTTACAACAGGAGCGACTTTGGCGGTGAACAATTCCAACCCTTCCCACCACCAGTGGTGCTGATAGAGGCACGACTTCTTCAAACCACAAATGATGAAGTCCACCCTCTCGGTAGTAGGAGGATAGGACCGTGGAGATATCCTGGAGCTGGACGCACGGTTGAAAATTGACTGAAAGATCTGGTGGAAAAAATCCGGCTTCACGTGTCTTCAATTGGTATATATTGGTATTGAATCTGGTCAAGACTTCAGGCACTGAGTCATTGAGAGCAATTGGATGATGGCGATGCAATAAGCATCATATCCCTCTGGCTTGTGAACCTTTGGAAGCGTGCTTGCACCCAACGCCGTACATGATTGCTGGGGAACAGTTGGACCGCACAATTTTTGTTGAGAACATGCCCCATGTCAATCCGAGTCGACTATCGGAAACACGGTTGAATCTCCAGTTCACGACTTAATTCTGCTACATGGGTGCTTGACAAGAAATGGTAGCCTTAAAAAACTGCTTGCTCTCCTTGAATAGTTTGCTTTTTGTCTTTACATCTATCTGAGCTTTCCAAACATGTTGGGCACCCCCTATTTACCATTTGCATCCATTTGCCCATTACAAATAGAGGTTTCCTAAATTCGGGATACCCCAAAATCATCCAAGTCATTGGACCATTTTAGTACTGAAACTCATGGTGGCTTGGGGATCCCCCATGACTTGAGAAAGCCCCTTAAATGTACCAATAGCTTGATATCTTGATTGCAGCTTCGGGGTCATGACAGAGGAACCCCGCCAGGTCATGATCCAAAAATCAGCCAAGGATCACTCACCGAGGCAAGTCGGAAAGCTTTGGAGTCCAAGGCACTCTTGGGATCCCAAGTCGTCAGAAAATTCACATGTTCCGCCCTCGGCTCGCCGTCGAACTTCTCGGATTGGATATCTGTGATATCTGGATATTCTTGGATATTGAGATGGATATTGAGATGGATTTTTTTTGGAAAGGCGATTTTGGATCTGAATCCATTCCACTTAAATTACTGATTTTTTTTTTGTTTTGTGGTGTCAGCCGAGGTTCCACGAGGCCAGCCACGCTGCCAGCGGTCGATTGGCGGGATACGCCATGCCCAGCTGCGCACTCTTGTAGACCGCGTAGAGCTGTGCCGTCCAACCTGGTGGGGACGAAACCACTGGGACCATTGGAAAAAAGGGGTGTCACTGAACATCCTGCGATACAAGATATGGATACAGATTTTTGAATTAGTTTTTGAATGTGTTTGAAACCATCCTTGAATATCTTGGATAAACTCTGTCCTCCAGTAAATTAACATACACCATGTGTATATAGATCAGTTTCCGAATGGAAAACCATGGGTTTTCCTCTCCTCTTTGTATGTCCCAAGGTACCCTCTGGTAATTTAACAGTTTGCTATTGAAAATTGCCATTTATAGTGGATTTACCCATGAAAAATGGTGGTTTTCCATACTTATGTTAGTTTACCAGAGGGTATTCCTCTTTGTATAGCAAAGTACTACTGGAACAGGGCGAGCGGCAAACATCTCCTGCCAACGCAGCGTGACACGCGATGCACTCGCGACGCACATCTTGCAACGCATGGCTGGCGCGGTTGAGCTCCTACCAGCTTCAATGCGGCAACGCATCTATGGGGTCGGGGAATCCAAATCTTGAGGCATAAGCAGTATATGATGGTTTCCTATATCATGGTAGTTTAAAACAGGAGGACATGACCATAAACAGTGAATATATACGTTGAACATTAGGATCTGCCCGTGAAAATTAAAGTTCTTGCCCATTGAAACAAATGATTCATGTTACTATGTTACTATTCAAAATCTATTTTTTTCTTGAATTAGAACGTTCGACCATCAAGCATGTGCGTGTCTGAAAACGGAGGCTTTGCCACAAAACTGCTAGATATTAATGGAGGAATGGCAATATTAACCACTGGATTTTTCGGGTGTTTTCCTCTGTGTTTTTCAGCCACGTCACCATAAATAATTGCATGATTTTCCCTGACATATCCCCTCTTGTAATCAGCTCCATGGCTGGCTGGAAAATCACCCATTTAGATCCATTTAGTTGGATAATGTTCCCATAAAGAATGAACACAGATTATTTCCCAGGATTATTTCCTATGATTGTTGGTTAGGAACACCATCATTACAGTAACTAACCAACAATCACCCAATCATGAGTATGTCCCATAGATTTTCCATCTATTACCCAACATTTACAGTATATATGTTGGTTAGTAACCAACTAACCAACAATCACCCGTTGAGTTGCTGTATCTCATGTCCCATATCCCATGTGTGCGAGATGCCATGGCCCATGGCTAGAGATGATCAACCATGGAGGTCTAGTTGATGTTCCATATGAAACATGAGGATTTACCGATATTTGCCTAAACAGTTTGTTGATGTATGTTGAAAACATAGTTGATATTCCAGTTGATGTTCCATTATTTTTAAGTTACATATGTTACATCCAGTTGTAAAACATATCCGGACCATCCCCTCCCAAAACGATCTCCAGGCTGAGCCAGAAGGGCGACTCCAGGGTGAGCTGCTCCATGGAGGCCAATTGCTGTAGGAAGCTGGATCTCGGCTGTTCAGACCAAGCCGGTGAGTTGATTGACATCACATGGAGGTTCCCTAAAATGGGTTGGGCTACCCCTAAATCATCCATTTTTCCATAGGTTTTTCAGGTTTTTTTCCATGACAAACCAGGAATAATTTGGGGTACCTCCATTTATGGACAGCCCCAGATCTAAGTGTTCTAAAACATTATCACCAATGCTTACTATACTTCTTGAATGTTAAAGTTATCTATCTGACCGTCACTTTTTTTAAAACCATGCGACGCATGTTTACTATAATTCTTTAAGTAGTTGTATATACTAAACCATAGTAGTACTATGTATTTTGCTGGTGTTTGATGAGGATTAACAGGGTTGCAACACTCCAAATGTGGGAGGTACATAAAGATTCAACATCAGCCATTTCCCACCCATGTGGCTATCATTTACCCACAGTTGGAGCAACCCTTCATATTGCTATCATTCTCTCAGGAGTTTTATACGAGTGCTGTAGTATGGTGATAAAAAACTTGTCATAATGAACTGGCTGGGAATGAAACACCAACCGTGAGGTGATTATGATGGTGATGTTTGACGAGGATTATGAATTCGTGATGTGTAGTTCTTGTCATGATTGTCATTGTTTGTAGTTTTTTTCATATCATTCATATACTGCTATAGCTATTATTATATATTATTATCATTATGATCACGATAATGATGACGACCATAATCATGATGACGTCATGACGATGACACCATGTCGGCTTTCTCTCCATGGGGTGAAAGGGATCATCGGACGTATGGTTTTGCCACCAAATCCCGACACAAAAATGACACACATATCACACACCATTCCATATAATACATCAATATTGGATAGTTGTTGGATATAATATATATAAATCTGGCCACCTTGCTGGAATTTTCTCGGCACACTAAAAAACATGCTTTTCTTTTCACACATGTTCACTGGAAATCTAAGATTGGCGCAACCAAGGGATACCAAGGGACATTTTCATGGACAGTGCGCCCAAAATGTGGTAGGTTTCACCTGAGGATGGTGCAGCTTGCCCTTTTGCGCATGAAGAGTCAGACTCATGTCAGTGGTCACTGTGTGTATGCTGTTTACAATGAGTTCCTGTGTTCTCTTTCACGACAGCTGCAAGTTTGCAACTTTCCTTTGAAGGTCGTTCAAACACTCAACCTCTCAAAAAACAAGAAAACTGCTGGTCTGCTCCTCTTGCCATCTCAGTTCTGATATGCTTAAAGGGGGTGCACATCAGTGCGCAGCTTTGTCAATCAAATCCGCCGACCCCAGCCATCTGCAGGGGGAGCGCGCCCGAGAAAAAGTGGCTTCGCGGCACCTTTTCTTCTGGTTTCAGAAAGCGACGTTAGGTAGTAGGCTGCCGTTAAACGCTTCCCGGCGCCCTCGGCCGCCCTTAAACCTTGCCCTTAAACCCTGCCCTTGAACCCTTCCCGGCGTCTTTGGCACCCAGCAGCATGTCCTTTGGCCACCTGCCGGGCGCTTTTCTGGAGATTTTCTTCTCGTTTCAGAAAGCAACGTTAGGCAGTAGGCTGCCCTTAAACCCTCCCCGGCGCCCTGAGCTGCCTTTAAACCCTTCATGGCGCCCTTGGCAGCCAAGCAGCATGTCCTTTCGCCACCTGCCGGGCGCTTTCCTGGAGATTTTCTTCTCGTTTCAGAAAGCAACGTTAGGCAGTAGGCTGCCCTTAAACCCTCCCCGGCGCCCGGAGCTGCCTTTAAACCCTTCATGGCGCCCTTGGCGGCCTAGCAGCATGTCCTTTGGCCACCTGCCGGGCGCTTTCCTGGAGATTTTCTTCTGGTTTCAGAAAGCAACGTTAGGCAGTAGGCTGCCCTTAAACCCTCCCCGGCGCCCTGAGCTGCCTTTAAACCCTTCATGGCGCCCTTGGCGGCCTAGCAGCATGTCCTTTGGCCACCTGCCGGGCGCTTTCCTGGAGATTTTCTTCTGGTTTCAGAAAGCAACGTTAGGCAGTAGGCTGCCCTTAAACCCTCCCCGGCGCCCTGAGCTGCCTTTAAACCCTTCATGGCGCCCTTGGCGGCCTAGCAGCATGTCCTTTGGCCACCTGCCGGGCGCTTTCCTGGAGATTTTCTTCTGGTTTCAGAAAGCAACGTTAGGCAGTAGGCTGCCCTTAAACCCTCCCCGGCGCCCTGAGCTGACCCTTCATGGCGCCCTTGGCAGCCAAGCAGCATGTCCTTTGGCCACTTGCCGGGCGCTTTCCTGGAGATTTTCTTCTGGTTTCAGAAAGCAACGTTAGGCAGTAGGCTGCCCTTAAACCCTCCCCGGCGCCCTGAGCTGCCTTTAAACCCTTCATGGCGCCCTTGGCGGCCTAGCAGCATGTCCTTTGGCCACCTGCCGGGCGCTTTCCTGGAGATTTTCTTCTGGTTTCAGAAATCAACGTTAGGCAGTAGGCTGCCCTTAAACCCTCCCCGGCGCCCTGAGCTGCCTTTAAACCCTTCATGGCGCCCTTGGCGGCCTAGCAGCATGTCCTTTGGCCACCTGCCAGGCGCTTTCCTGGACATTTTCTTCTCGTTTCAGAAAGCAACGTTAGGCAGTAGGCTGCCCTTAAACCCTCCCCGGCGCCCTGAGCTGCCTTTAAACCCTTCATGGCGCCCTTGGCAGCCAAGCAGCATGTCCTTTGGCCACCTGCCGGGCGCTTTCCTGGAGATTTTCTTCTCGTTTCAGAAAGCAACGTTAGGCAGTAGGCTGCCCTTAAACCCTCCCCGGCGCCCGGAGCTGCCTTTAAACCCTTCATGGCGCCCTTGGCGGCCTAGCAGCATGTCCTTTGGCCACCTGCCGGGCGCTTTCCTGGAGATTTTCTTCTCGTTTCAGAAAGCAACGTTAGGCAGTAGGCTGCCCTTAAACCCTCCCCGGCGCCCAGAGCTGCCTTTAAACCCTTCATGGCGCCCTTGGCGGCCTAGCAGCATGTCCTTTGGCCACCTGCCGGGCGCTTTCCTGGAGATTTTCTTCTGGTTTCAGAAAGCAACGTTAGGCACTTTTTCGCCGCCTTTTTTGCGCCTTCTCCGTCCTTCACTGCCATGGTGTTTCCCCGTCCGGGGGCTGTGGTTTTGCGCGGTCTTTCCTCGCCCAAGAACCGCGTTTTGGAGCGGGACAAGTAGCTCAGAAACCTCCTCATTTTCTATGGGTTTCAGAAGTTACGTTAGGCACTTTTTCGCCGCCTTTTTTGCGCCGTCTCCGTCCTTCACTGCCATGGTGTTTCCCCGTCCGGGGGCTGTGGTTTTGCGCGGTCTTTCCTCGCCCAAGAACCGCGTTTTGGAGCGGGACAAGTAGCTTCGAAATCTCCTCATTTTCTATGGGTTTCAGAAGTTACGTTAGGCACTTTTTCGCCGCCTTTTTTGCGCCTTCTCCGTCCTTCACTGCCAAACTAATTGTTTCAACCGAAAATCTTGTCAAGGTTTTCAAACATTCATGTGGGTAGTTTCTTGAGAGTTTCATTTAGGATTTCGTTCATGAAGGGTCAAAAAAACACGGAAAACAAGGCGGAGGATCCAAAAAAACAAGGTCCCCGTATACTTTGATAAACTATCATGCACCTGTGCGGCGCAACCATGCACCTGTGCGGCGCAACACTAGCTGCATAATAAAAGGCCAAAACTATCGTATAGATATATCTAACTATTGTACAGTTACTTAGATCCGTGAACCCATAAAACCATAGGATCATAATATCAACATGCACCCAAATGAAAAACCCATTTACAAATGAAAATTCAAACCTATCAAATATAGTTCACAACAATATACATAGGAAAAAGGTCGAAAGCCTCAGAATTTAGTTTGCTTCCTTGCCGATTCTTCCGGGGTCGGCGGCAGGGGCGGCAGCCCTTAATATCTTTCACACTTTGTCGATCTGATTTCACTTCCACCCAATTCCCTTTTGTGGCTACAGCATGGATCAAAATCCAGCGCTCCAGTTATTTATGAAGTTCAATTGATGGTAGAGCTGGATGTTCATTCGCCCAATCACATAGGAAAACCACCTTAATCGTTTCAATCAAAAAAGGCTTCTCACCGCCAAACATGGGAGGAACTTACTATCAAACACGGATAACTTGACCATCAAACATGCGGATTGACCCATCAAACATCGGAAAAAAGAGCATGGAACATGCAGAAAATCAGGAACAAAAACAAACAACAATAGAGATTTACATCATAATATACCATGAGCAATAAATGAAAATAAATGTATATATGAAGAACAACAATATACATATATTTTGTGACAAACCTATTGCCTGTAACAGTGAGCACAATTTACACCACAAAAAGTTGCACGAAGAATTTAACAGAAATAAGAGATAAAAATGCAACATGCGCAGCACACTTTTCAGTTTTGCTCAACTAGCTGCCAAATGACGCAGACCACCACTTTTGCAAGCAATGACAGTGAGGGAGCAACATGCATTTTATCTCCACACGATTTTTTCAGTCTGCTGGACCACAAAAAGTTGCACGCGAAAAGACCCATCTGGAGCACGATTTGGAGCACAAAAAAGTTCCACGCGAAAACACCCTTCTGGAGCACGATTTGGAGCACAAAAGGTTGCACGCGAAAAGACCCATCTGGAGCACGATTTGGAGCACAAAAAGTTGCACGCGAAAAGACTTATCTGGAGCATGATTTGGAGCACGAAAAGTTGCACGCGAAAAGACCCATTTGGAGCACGATTTGGAGCACAAAAAGTTGCAAAACCATGGCAGTTCTTCAATTTGTCAATTGTCAATTGTGTAGAATGGCCGCAATGAGCAAGATGGCCAGGCACTGTGAAGAAGACATTGCAAACAAATCACAAAGCACCCGAACAGCCTATTCCAAAATTAACCACTTCTGGGGTGATGTTTTTGCAGGGGGTCCCACAAACAAAACCCTTTTACTGACTGTTACAGATATTAGGCTAGAATCAACATATATTACACATCAATAATTACCATGAATTACCCAGCAAAAAAATGATCTCCTCTCCATCACGGACCCCGGCCCTGCTGTCTTGATCCCCGCGCACCGTCCGAGCGATGCGTCAACGTGGGCGAGAAGGACCGCAGCACGGCGCCCATGCGGCGCTCTTGGGCCCAGGATAAGGCTGGAATCAGCAGATGCTCTTCCGCCCAATCCTGCATGGCATACCGTATATCCCCATGTTTTTCAATTGTTGGGATGAGGATTGACTGATTAACCATCAAATTGAGGGGTTGCAGACAAGCCCATATGAGTAATTTTTGCCAAACATTGCAGATTTGAAGTGCGTGTTTTTTCCCATGATTCTGGATTGATAAATGATCCGCTGAAGAAAAGATATGGTGCCAAATGATCCACTGAAGAAGCAATTGGGAGAAAATCAGGAAAGGTTTCCCATTGAACAAGATTTGAAACCACCTGTTTCTCACACGGAAAAATATGCTTCAGGGTTGGTTTGGGACAAACAATCACCCGTTGGTTGTGCAGGCGAGGCTAGGCTTATCCTTCTTCTTCTTGAACGAATAAGTGGGAAAAGGACGTCTGGCCTAGCAAAGTTTGCAACAGCCTGCTTGGGTTGAGGCATCCGCATTCAAGATAAATCAGCTAATTTAAAGCACCCACATCTGCCATCTGAGGCCAGATATATCGTCCCAGAAAGGAAAAGCAACAGCTCAGCTGCCAGCCGAGCAAAATGGTGAATGTGGCCACGTGTATGCCACGTGTCACATTACAAAAACAACAATGTCATCATGTGTTTACACATTCCAAGCAGAAAAGAACATCCACTTGCTTGGACCATCCCATCAATTGGAAACATGACAGCCATGACAGTCGCCACCGCAAAACCCCGGGTCCGACAAGGACGTACCATGTAGGAAAATCAAGTTATGAAGCCCTGCTGCCTGGCCGTGCGTCCGAAAATGAGTGATATGTGATACTTTCAAAATGGCAAGATACTATATATTTATATATATATATTTATATATATATATATTTATATATATATTATATATATAAATGATTATAAATGAATGTTCAATGGGCAAAATGATGACATCAAATTTGTGAACACAAACGCTATCACATGGAGATTTCATCACTAAGCAAGCATGGAGCGCAGCGAAAAAAATCAGCGCAGGCCTTGATGCTCGCCATCATACTGGAGAGAAGCTGATGGCTCTGCTTTTCCTGAGTGCAGTGCTGTTGGAAACAACAGGCTTCTGTAAATGTATGCAAATTCTTGGATAATCATCCTGGGACAGCTTTGGATAGTTGGATGGCAATAAAGGGGTTTCCTCAGTTTCCTTCAGGCTGCCCCTGGATCTCACAACTGGCTCACAATTTTTCGGCCACGTCTCGTCGGCAACGGAGCTACAAACAGTGAGCAATGGATGTCGCTGCACAATGGAACCTGCAACGCTTGCGACTCGGCATCTGCAAGTCGCACATTCAGAATTGGAATGCTACAACCCAAAGCTGGTACTTCTTGTTGCATCTACTGTACTACAACACGTCCGCTTTTTCGACAATCTCAGCCTGAACATGTATTTTTCTCCATCTAACTTTCGGACCGAGTGACTCGACAAGTGCCTGGATTAATCACATTGTTATATACCGAGCATTTCATGGTTTCAGTAAAATTATCCGTCAGATCTTTGCCCATGTCGCACAATGGAGAACGATGCGAATATGACGGACCTATCCCCCCATGCAAATTTTTATGAGGATCTTAGTCTCTGGCACTATCGCCAGAAGTCTTTCGAGCTAAATGTTACATCCATTGTAACATCCATCTTTACAAATCATATTCATCTGTTTTTCTGGATATTTTTCATGTTCCTATCACACTAAATAGACCTCCATGTTTTCCATAGTGTTTTCATATTCATGTTCCGTATGTATATATATATACACATTAATATATCTGTATACACATACAAAATCCACATTTTCCCTAGTTTAAATCTATCTTCCATAACAAATCCACATATCTTCCATATACGTTCCACATCTTTTTCCATGAGAAACATACATATTGATACAAATTGTCCATATTATCAGTGTATTTTCCAGATTTTCCCAGCCATCAACACTTTCCAAACCGGGCCTAGGGCTTCTGTCCACTGGGGCGAGGTGAATCGTTCATCCCGGCCCACTAGAGTGAAGTCCCAGACCTGTGGCGAAGGCTGGCGAAGTCTCCAAAGAATTGAGGGAAACTTTGGGGAAAATTGTGAACAAATTCACCACATCGGGAACAAACAAACAACAAAAACGAAGAATCTCCGAAAAATTAAGGGGAAAAAACAATGGAGAGACATGGGGAACATTTTGGAGAAGCGTTGAACAAATTGGAGACCTACAAGTATTGGATAATGGATAGAACTGGGAAAAAATCATTAGAGAACAATGGTAAAACAAGGAACATTTGAAGAACACATGCAAACTGGGGAACAAAATTGGGAAATCATTTGGCAAAAAATGGTGAACAATTTTGGACTGTGAGGAAACTATGTGGAAAACTGTGGAAATGAGACAAACAGTTTGGAAACTTGCGGACGTGTGGGAAACCATTCGATAAAATTGGTGAAACATTGAAAAATTCGTTGGCAAGTGGAACGTTGCTTCTAAGAGTAGCCAAAAGTGGGTGGAGTATGGTAGAGTTCAAATATGGTGAATCAATACCTGATACAGTGATACATATTACCACATCCTGAGAGCTGCCAAAAGCTGGCTGTAGCTATCACCCGGGCCATACTGGACCCTGCCTCTGATGGCTGCTCAGTTGAGGCTGTAGACTGGCAGGGTCAAGTTCGAGTCAAAATGGTCAAGTTGAACATACCGGTGTCATCAAACATGGCATGTATGGCCAGCTGGGAAATCCTGAACGAAATTGGCAATTTTCACGAATCATTTAGATGGGAAATCATCGAACATCACCGGGGACGAAAGCTGATTGTCAAGGCGGCCAACCTTTTCAAAATGCCTCAACATGGCAGTTCTGGGGGCAACAAAAACGTACAAACATCCTTACCATCCCTCATCATTCTACAAACTTCACCCGGATCACTTTTCGAAGCCCACACTTTTCGAAGCGCCATCTCCGGCCATCTCCCCCGACCCCGACAGTTGGACCTGTGTCTTGCGCATCAGTGCGCCATCACCTTCCGATGCGCAAAATCTGCCACGAATCATCCATGGCTTGAAGTGACAAGTACTTAGACCATCTTAGACTCTCCAAGTACCTGTAAACATGAGCAGAAGTAGTACTTTAAAACATTTCAAATACCATTTTGTTCTGGGTACTTGGAGGGGTCTATCGACCGACAAGTGCTGCCAAGAATCTCTCCAATTGTGCCATATCGGCAGTCTCGCTGATGCCAAAAAAGGCTACGACATTCTGTATGCCTGAGAGCCATTGCAAATCATAAATACATGTACTTAGACCGTCCAAGTACCTCGAAAAATGCCGCAATTTTGGGACTTTCACCGATTTACAACAAACACAGAAAACAAAAAAAACACACACACACAACTGCATATTTGTGGAGCAAACAATATATCTGTCTGGATTTCCAAGACCCATCTGTGGCAACATGTGGCAACCATCCCTGAGGTTCCCACAAAAGCAGTGTCTGAGAATGCTCTTTGGGATCTCTGCCGTTGCAGCCGAGCAGTGGAGAATCCATCGGGTTGGTTCCTGCAGCACATGAAATCACATGAATCATGTGGTCCGAATGGAATCAACAAAACCGATGGGGCGTCTCTTTGATCATGTCTCGGAATATTGGCAATAGAGGATGGTTGATTCTTGCATTCACCACATAAAACTGACTATCGAAAACGGTTGAGATATGCTGATTTGGCAACTCCGGCCAAATCCGGCCTGATACGGCTGATCTTGTCCTTGGATGTCGTTGGCACTACACAATGAGACAGCATTGAAGGTGTTACAATTCATAGCAAAACCATCATCCCAACGAACTTGTGTCCAGAAAGATTCATTCAAGCACAAGCTTGGTTTGCGCGCTTTCAAGTATTATCAAGAAAACATTGCCATGCAACCAAGCAAAGAGATGCGAAAGTATGCATTCATCGTGCAAAGTAGCACGTCGTATCGTGGGGATTCAACCAACCCCAAGGTGACAGTGTTGACAGGTGACACCCCCAGGAAGTAGGAAGAAAAGGTGTAATGTTGCAAACCCAGGCCAATAAATTATGATTCCCAACATCATTATATATATATAGAATATAGAATTATATAGATATGTGTTAACCATCATCCCTACATGGTAGGTAAAAAAAAGGCATTGGGTTTCCCACATTGTTAATCACCAACAACCACCTCGAAATACGCGTGAATCTTAATCATCGACCATGTGAAGCCTAGGCACCCTCCAACATTTCTCGAAAGATCCTCAGACACCGAAGTTGACGAGGGGGAAGGACGGTTGTGGCAATTCAGTGCAAAGGGCACCAAAACAAAGAAACAACTCAGGTACATGCCAAAGCATAGTGAGATCTGATAGATCTGGTTGTAAATCATTATATTTGATCTGATTGAGTTCGCCCCAAATTGATTCAGGCAAAACAACCGGATATGCTCATCCGGAATGCCATGGAATCAAGCTGCATACCTGTCACCTCAGGAAGAAACTTGCATGTGTCAAGGAGCTATCTGCTCGACACTTTGGATTCTTATTGCGGTAGTGAACTACATCCACAGTCTATGAAAGTCTCAGTTTGTTGCCTGTTGCACATATCTGTTCAGGTTTTTGCAAAAAATGAGTCATTGGGAATCACCATTCCATCTGTTTTATGGTTCATCTATGGACCACCAATCAGATATACTCAAATTCTCTCCCATACAATTTGCGGTATATGTTCTCAATTTTCTCATGCTTTATTCATATGGCTGTCTGTCTGACAATTTGGGATATTCTCAATCATGGTCATAGGCATAGGGAGAATTGTCCTAATGATTCACTGGATTTAGGATCGCTATTTTCAGGCACACCCATATGTTTCCCATCTTTTCAATGGGAATTTCAGGATCCTAAAATGGAGGTACTGTACCATATAAGGCCATATTTTGTGGGGATATTCCCTTACATAGTCCTTACATAGGCCTTATATATGGTAGGTACCTCCAATTTAGGTTCCTGAAATGGCCACTGATCTTTCCCATGGTTTTACCCCCCAAAAAAATTACAGGACCGACCTGCCGGCGCGGCACGCTGCGGTCACCGCTTGTCCAGCGATCAAATCTTGCACTTGAGCACCGCGCCTAATCTTGCGCAACGTGGGGCCGAAATAGCTTAGTTGTACTTCTAACTATAAATTAGCGAGCTTATGGACTTATCTATAAATTGTATTAAATTGTGTACTTGTAACTTAAGATTTACTTACCTTTAGTCCATATATATATATGTTCCTATACAAATATAGCTAACATTAATGTAACACAACTTCGTTAAGTTGGATTCCAACTCCAATAACTATCGTTCATGGCCGCACCTTGTGGAGATGACGAACTGTGCCGTGGTCAAAACATGGTATATGATTTATATTGTTTTATGATGTTTTATGGTAATTTGGTGAAGTGCTGGAAGTGAAACATGCAGGAGTTGATTATAGATGACTGTAGTTGATTATCGTTGATTATAGTTGATTATAGCTGATTATAGTTGATTGAATCTTGCCCCAATGACTCTAATGTGACATCGAGAACTTTCCTTCTGCGCCTTCCAGTCTTCCTTCTTCGAACTCCTTCAAGATGTGCCACCAGCAAGGATTCCATCGCTTGAAAGTCCTGCGACTTTCAACCTTCTCTGAGAAGGGCTTTTTAATTTTATGAATTGGAAACGGGATCGTCAAATGCCCAACTTTTACCACGGCAGCGCGGTATGACTCAAGGGCCCTAAAGCCAAATGTCAACGGGGCATGTGATCACTTGGCTATACAAAATATACATTAGACAGGTCAAACTCACACTCAACCTGTTCTTCAAGGATCACATGATGCTAGTGAAAAAAAGTTGGCTCTAAGGCTTCTTCTGTACACGGTAAATGCACTCCTTCAAGACGCGGATAATGAGGTCCGGGCGCATGCTCTTGGTCAGAGCATCCGAGACCATAGTCCCTGTAGCAATCCAGGTAACAATGTCTCCTCCGCCATGATGCATATCCCAGGTCCTCCGGCCGTCTTGCCAAAGTGACTCATGAATCGACTGCAACTCAATGCCGAGTCGTTTGTCTGCGACCCTGCCGAGTACCTCATTCGCAAGATGGTCTGTTAGAGACCTGCAGTCTGAAAGCATCAGTTGTGGAATACAGCTGCGGCTGTCATCCAACCATGTTTTCATCGAGTCAAGTTGGCCCATCAGTTCGGCCAATGCTCCACGTAGCTTGTCACCGCTCTCTTGTCCAGCCTGCAGTGAATAAGCCTCGCATTGAAGAGTGCTGCGGCATACTCGCCGAATTGTATTTGATGCAAATCCCAATGGCATCACCCTGTAGGATGTAGTCTTGGGGTCTTTGATCTCATTGATGTCTCCAAGAAAATGGAAACGACCTTGTTGTGATTTGTAATTCTTCTCCTTTGAAAATGAAGCATCTGTCACTGTAATGATACCAATCTCTCCCCAAGTTAAATGACCACCTGGGAAAATAAGCTTGTTATCAATGCCTTGATGTGCCAGCTGTACCACGGCATTTGCGTCGTGCAAAATGGCAACTGTTGCTCCAGAAATACTGGACTGTAGGCGGCTCACACGATAACCCAAATCGGGTCTAGTCTGCCTTGCCACCCATGCCAATGATCCCGTTACAGATCGTAATCGGGTCACATCATCCTTACCCAACGGCTCGGACGCTGATCTTCCTGGCGCGATCTTGATCGGCTTGATGCGACGGGTGTTGTCACAAGTGTCTTGTGTGATTGTTCCATCTGCAGTACGCTCAAATTGCTTGCCACAATAGCGAAACGAATTTGATTCACTTGATCCCAAGTTGAACTTCTCCAAGAAGCTGTCGATCACTGACTTTCCCTCAGGAATGTATGCGTACAAGATGTCATCCACATGTGTCGCCATAAGTGCAACGCAATCTTTGTCGGTTCCTGGAAGGAAATACAATCCTGGGTAAAACTTGGATTGTTTCAAGCCACTGGATCGGGC